GCCAGAACTGCTTCGCCCAGCACTTTCCCCTTCTGTTCCTCTCATTCCCAGCCTCCTCCCTGCCCTTCCCGACCTCCTGGAAGCCCAGCCAAGCCAGAGGGGAGCATGGGGGGCCCTGCAGCTGAGGGCGTGAGGAGGAAGAGGAGGAGGGAGCCGGCTGGCTGGCTGGCCAAGGGCTTAGCCACAGGCCACGAGGGGCAGGAAGGAGACGTCACCCTCTCTTCCTCTCCAGGTGGGCTGGCAGGAGAGGCTGCACCTCTGGAACAGCTGCTGCCTGTGTGTGTGTGAGTGAAGCGGCAGGGCAGGGGGCCAGTCTCTCCGGCAGTGGGGGCAAGAGGCCGAACTGAGCCTGCCTGGCGTGGGACCTCGCTGGGCCCTCGGACGCCTGCCAGGTGAGGCCAGGTGACCCACCAGAGGGTGCCTGCTGCCCACCAGGTCTTGGGCCAGGAGGGTGGTCAGCCCTGAGCCTCGGGGTCCTTGCAAGCAGGTCAGAGACCGGAGGCCGAGAGGGAGGCTGGGCTCGTTAGCAGAGGAAGTTCTCCTCGGATGGATGAAGCCAAGAGCAAAGTGGCTCCTTCCTCCCGGCCGACGGAGGGACCACCAACCCCCATTCTCCGGCCTTTGAGCTTCTCCCGACCGGGGCCCCCTTTGCTGCTCCCCGCTTGCCCCGAGAAGCCCCACTTGGGGATCCTGCCACGTGTCTCCCCCCCCCTGCTTCCATCACTGCCACCCTACGGTCCCTCTGCCCATTTTGGGGGCCTCTAGATGGGGCCCCAGCTGCTCTCCAGGAAGGGGATTAAATGACTCCCTTCCACTGTAGTAAAATCACAGCCGGGTGCTTTCTCCAAAGCCTCCAATGCTGGGAGACGAAGAATCCCTCGCGCCAGCCTTTTGCAGGTGGGAACCAATCCAGCCCACCCACCCATTTCCCATCCCAAGCCCCAGGTGGGGAGGGGGTGCCCACAGGATGCCCAAGCCCCCCCCCCAATGGGAGACGCTGGATGGCAGCCAAGGAAGAAGGGGGAGCCACGATGGGTGGTGACTCATAGGTAGTGGGTGGGGGGGGAGAATCCCTCCTGGATATTCCTTGGTTTACCCAGCATTGGGTGAGACGGAACTTCTGAGCTGAATTTCCCCGCTTGGCTCCGGTCTCCGCTGGGGCCTGGGCAGCCAGAGTCACCTGGAGATGCCCTGCACACCAACCCAGCGTTAACCTACCCCCACCCCCTCCCCATGAAGGGAGCCCCCTCCCTAATCCCCCGGCCAGATAAAGGCCCCTGGGCAAGGAGAAGAAAAGGCTCCGCATGCAAAGCTCTCCGGTTTCCCGAGCTGAGCAAATTTTCTCATCTTAATGTGATTATGGCAGGGGGTTTTTTCCCAGGGTCTGCGAGGAGGAGGAGGAGGAGGCAGGCGCAGACCCTTCCAATTAGGAGGGAAGGAATGTGGGCCCCTTCCTTGCCCTGGAGGGCCGCCCCCCTCCCTCCCTCCCCAGTGGCCGCCTGCCCTCCTGGTGCCAGAAAGGGCAAGTCCAAGGCAATGAAGCACCCAGCTCAGGAGCAGTCTATCCCTTCCGTGCAGGGGAAAGTCCAGGAAATTAGTCAGTGCTTAGTGGATTGGCTGAGCCGCCCTTGCCTTAACCTATTGACTAAACAATCCTGGATAAATTCCCTCAAGGCTGAAGGAGGAACATCCATCTCTGGGTCTCTGAGGGGGCCGCGCTGGAGGTATGGGGAGGGTCAATGGGGGGGGGGGCTTCCTGGCCCTGATTGACAGGCACAGAAGAGGCTTTAATGACTGGCTAGCTCTGTAGCCTGGAGGGGAAACCTCTGGCCCAACTGCTTCCAAATTGAGGGCAGACATGAAATCCGTATAGAGCAGCCCCCCCCCCCCTTGGAGGCCCTTTCAGTCTCTCTCTGCCCCCCCCCCTCACAAGACATTCCTGCTTTAATGTCTGAAAGAGGAAAGCCGGCTTTTAAGACGGAGTGGGGAGGGCTGGGTTAAAGGAAGAGGCTGGCTCATGTCTCCGGAGGGGGGGGGGAAGAGATGGAGGGAGAGAGACCCTTTGTAAGTTGGGGTTGACATTATCCGCCCCCCCCATTGTCCTCAGCGCCATTCCAGGGAGGTTAAAGAAACAGTTGGTGGGATAAATAATAATAATAATAATAATAAAAGCCAGAAGGTTTGGGGGGGAAGAGAGAAAGTGGGGGGGGGGTTGAAGAGCAAAGGGAAAGTGTGAGATTTCCAGCTGGGACTGATTTTTAGCCTCCCATCGCTCTGCTTATCTCCATAAACACTCAGCCTCTCTGGGTAATTACAGGGTCTCTGCAGCCCAGCCAGGGAGGGAGTGGCACTCGCTGGGTGGTCTCCTTCCCCCCCCCCCTCTGAGGGGAGGGCAGGTTCCTGCAGGGCTGGGCGGGCAGGCAGGCACCCGCTCAAAGCCACTCAGCCACCTCCCTGTGGTCAACGGTCCAGTCCAGCTGAGCTGTGGCAAAAGCAGCCGCCTTCACACATGCCAGGGGCCTGGGAGGTACAGACCCCAACCTATCCGGGAGTCCCCAAAGCAGCACCCCAAAGCCTGTGCCCAACGCCAGTCCTGCAGGGGAGGGAAGTGGATTTTACATCCCCCCCCCAAGGCCAGGGACTCCCTGCCAGCTCCCGTCCAAAGGCCTGAAGGTGCCCTGACACGGCCCAGCTGTGGGGGGCTTCCCTTAGCAGCTGTCCCGCAATGGCCCAGGGGAGGTGGGGTGAGCCCCAAAAAGCTTCCGGCCTTTCCCTGCTCCTCTGGCAAGTCGTAACTGCTGCTCCCCAGACTCCCTTGCTCAACAACTTCCGGGATCCTTTCCGCCTCCTCTCGGGAGCCCAAGGGAAGGCGCTTGGGGGGCACCTGGTTGGCACACGGGGCCCTGGCAGGAGGGAAGGGGCTGCTGCCCTGCAGAGGGGGAGGTCAGTCCACAACCCCCAATGAGGCCTGAAAGGGGAGCTCCCCCACTTCTCCTGACCCTGTTAGCCGGTCGTGACCCTGCCTGACCCCCAGCTCCCTTTTCAGCCCCTCTTTTGACTCCAATTGCCATTAGGCAGGATGAAGGGCTCTTTTCAAAGGCCTGCAGCCCCCCCCTCCCCCGCTAAGTCACCCCCTGAGCCCAGCCAGTCCATGTGGCTCCCAGAGGGGGCTGCTGCTTCGGGCCCAGAGAGCCACAGGTCCCCCTCCTCACTCTTAAGAGTTGCCTGGGAGAAGGACCGGCAGGGCTTGGACACACAGCCGGCCAGGAGACCGCCCCCCTCCCCCCCAGCTCTTTGTGGGACTAAGGAAAGAGATTAATGCCAATTAATCCCTCGGAAGGCGCAGAGAGCAGAGCTAAAGCTAACAAAGGGCTGCTCTGGGTGTTATCATAGCCTTATAAACTGCTGTTATGAACATGAATTCTGGCCAAGAGAGACAGCTCCCTCCTCCTTCAGCCTGGATCTGGGGGTGGGGGGTGGGGTGTTGGGCTGCATCCCTAACTGCTGACATGAGGACTTTTGAGGGGTGGGGGCAAAGAAGGGGGGAGAGGAGAGCAAAGGAGGTGGCCACCCACAGAGCCCACTGGATGGGGCTCAGGCGAGCAATCCATCACATGCCAGCAACCCCCTCCCTCCCCAGCCGTATCACTCACCTCCCCTTCCTCACTTGGCAGCCTCAAAGAAAGCCGCGCTCCCCCCCCCCCGCTTTCAGGCCCACCACGGTCTCCCGCAGAGAGGTGTCAGCCCCTCAGCAACCCCCCACCCCGTGGGGGTAAGCAGGTGCAGGAGGGGATCCCTGGAAGAGAAACCGGAGTCTCTGCCCTGCAGCTCACAAGCGGAAGGGAGAAGCTCCTTGCAAAGGAAGAAGGAAGCAGGAGGAAAGACTCTGGGGCACCAGCAGGTGAAGGGAGGACCCCCCCTGTCTTTCGCAGATGCGGTGGGGGGGGGCTCTTTGTTACCCAAAAGCTCCCATCCAGCTGAAGGCAGAGACAGAGCTTTCTGAGCCCCTGGTGCAGGCAGCCCCCCCTTCCCACTGGGGGCTGTTGCAGAGAGGAAGAGCAGCTTCCATCCACTCGAACAGGATCCTCAGGAACAAACTCCCCCCCCCCCCCCCCAAGGGGGGCGCCCAGGGTCCAGCCAACCAGGTGTTTCCGCCAAGGAGCTGAGGCCAGGCCCACCTGAGGGATGCAGGGAGGGGAAGCTTTGTTGTTTTGGGGGAGGCGTTTTTTAATTTCATAAAAACCCGTTACATCCCCCACACCAGGCGCACGAGTTGTGCTGCTTCTGCCCCCTCCCCCCTCACCAACACAAGCCATAAAAACCAGGCAGCCCCCACCCCTCCTTCTTCTGACACGGACAGACGGTGTGCCAAGACCGGAAGGCGCCTCTTGACGATTAAAAGTCCCCGGCGCCTCTTGGAGGACCAAACGCTGCCCCTGGAGGCGAAGCGGGAGGCCTCCTTGCCCTCACGGGGCCCCAGGCGGCTGCTGAAGGGGGCAATCCCGAGTGGCCCCTGCAGCCGGGATGCCCCCAACCTTCAAGAGAGGGGAGCAACTCCTGATGCCTTTGAATAAGGCAGCCTCAGCCGTCTGGAGGCCCCAAGGCTCCTTACAAGCCTTCAGCACCGGGGTGGCATTGGGAGGGCTGTGCCCAACCACTCCACCGGCTGAGGAAGCCCTCTGTGGTTGTGGCCCCACTCCTGCTCCCTCCCCCATCTCTGGGGAGGCACCAGCCACCCTAGAGCTCCGGCAGGCAAGCAGGGCTTCCCCCCCCCCCCTGCCTCAGGGCTGGATGGGCTCCCAAGAAGCCTGCAAGGAAGACACCGATGTGGGCCTCAGCTGGAGACAATGTAATGGACTCGTCCTTCTCACACCCCCCACCCACCCCTCAGGTCAGCTACGCCTTCTTCCCCTCCTCTGCCCCTCCCTCCGAAAGCTTCTGCCGCATCTGCAGCTCTCGCTCCGTCAAGTCCAGGCCAGCTGGCTCTTGGCCAAGGGCCGTCACGTGGTGTCCGGCGGTCCGTCCTGGAGAGGGGAGGTGGCCAAGTGCCTCTCCCACTCCACCTCGATCACCTTGTACAGCTCCATGGTAGCCCTGGCATCTTCGACCGACGAGTGTCCATTGTGACCAACCTGGAGGGAGGGAGGGGAAGTCTGAGGGTCAAAGCCCGCCATAGGCTCGTTCCCTGGCCACAAGGGCACCCCTTCTCTCCCCCTTCCTCCCTGCAGGCCGAACCCTAAGGCAGAACCCTGGCCTTAAGAGAGCCGCCCTCCCAAACGAGCAGCCGGGCTCAGCACCTGGGCAGGTGTGCCCAGCACCTGTTACCTGGATGTCTCGGAGCAGGAGCTGCTTGGTGAGCCGCTTCAGGGAGGCCGACTCGTTCTCGGGGAAGCCGGCCTTCCGGTTGAGCAGGGGGATTTTTGAGGTGTCCCTGGTCAAGGATTTGGGGTGGAAATATTTGAGGGCTTTGAAGTCGTTGTGGATGGCGTGGCCAATGACAATCTTCCCCGAGAGAAGCTTCAGAATCTGGAAAGGAAGCAGAGGAGGAAGCTCGCTCAGCCCCCAAACTCCCCAGGGGCCTCCTAGCAGAGGCAGCAGGAGACGACGATGCTGATGCCCACAACGCCCAGCCCAGAAGACGCCCCCGGATGGGCACGGAGGGGAGGGGGGCTAGAAAGAGGGTGAAGGGGCTGCGTACCGCCCTCACCTCTTTCTGGGCTAGCTTGAAGGGGACGGCGTCTCTCATGTGGTGCTGCCGGATGCCACTCCACCGAGTCCGGTAATTGGTGATGGGGCTCAGGGGACGGATGTACTTATCGTACATCACATCGCCATAATAGCCAACCACGCTGCATCGAGCGAGGTCACTATTGCGCCCGCCGGGCCCCGTGCCCACCATCTCACAGTCAATGGCCACCATTTTGCTGGGCTTGGCGAGCCCCGGCGCATCAGGGAGGCCACTCTTGAATTCGCTCAACAGGTTGACTCGGGGAACGTCCCCCCGGCTGCAGAGGGTCCCGTTGGGCTTCCCGGCACAGCTCCCCGTTTTCCTCGACGACGACGCAGCCGCCGCCGCCGAGGAGCCGGAGGTCCAGGATGTGGGATCCACGGCGCCCGAACCGGAGGTCTCCTTGGGCGGCACTTTGAGCCTGCAAGGGGGCCGCTCCTCCAGCGAGGGTTTGCCGCCCTCTTTGGCCTCCACCCTCTGCTTCTTCTTGGGCCGGTGGGGCCCCGCGGGGCAGCTGAGGGAGGCATCCCGCCTGGGCGGGGGCGGCTGGGGGGGCAGCTGCTTCTGCTTGAGGAAGCCCTTCCGCTCCAGGAACTGCCGGCGTTTGACGAAGCGCTGGTGCTTCTTGTTGCCCCCCGCGGGGCCCTTCTGGGCTGGCGGGGGTGGGAGCACCGTCTCCAGGTTGAGCAGGATGTCCGACATGGCGCCCAGCGGAGGAGGAGGCGGCTCCGGATCAGGCAGGCAGCAGCAGCAGCAGCAGCAGCAGCAGGCGGCTCTCTAGAGGGCTCCTCCGGCTGCAGGAGGAGGAGGAGGAGACGGGCAGGTCGGCGTGGCTGCCCTGCAAGAGACGGAGGGAGGGAGGGGGGTGAATCCCCGGGAGCCCCTTCCGCCCCTCCCCCCTTGGAAGGAGGCCCCGAGGGAGAGGGAGGGAGGGAGGGAGGGAGGGAGGGGGAAAGTCGGGGGGGGGGCGCAGCCCGGCGACCCTCTCGGCCTCCTCACCGGCCCCATCGGCACCTGAGCGGTTCCTTCCGGGCGGCGGGGACGGGGAGGCGATCGGGGCGTGGCTGGCTGGCCAGGCTTCCTCCCCCTCCTCATCCTCCCCCGGCAGGCCCGGCTTTGTGACCGCGGCGGGGCTCCGGAGGCATCACAGCGGCCCCGCCGGGCGCGTCACGGGCGGCTGCGGGACCTGCCGCCCTCCCTCCCTCCCGGAGACCCCGCGCCCACCTGGCACCGCCGACCCGGATGCGGAAGCGCCTCCTCCGCCCCCCCCAGCGGGGGAACTTCCGGTCACGCCGGAAGTCGATCCGCCGGGCTTCCCCGTAGCTTGGAAACCGCCGCCGCTTGGCCGCAGCCTCGGCCGGACCTCAGGGAGAGCTCTGATGAGGGGGAAAGAGAGGACTTTCCTTACGCCCGCATCAGGGGTGGGGGGGGGGGGGGGGGAAGGGATTTGCGGGCCGACCGACCGGAGGGGGGGGGGCAGAAACCCCTCCATTCGAAACCGAAAGCGCTCCTGGGGCGGTGGGCGGGGAGGGCGGACGGTGGCCGGCCGGGGCCAAATTTGCCCGCCATGCGCGGCTTCGCCCTGGAGCAGCAGAAGCGCCTGGCCGCCAGCCTGGTCCGCGTCCTCGCGCTCTACCGGCCGCTGACCGACGCCTACGTCATCGTAAGCCCCTCCCCCTCCCGGGCCTCCCCCCCCCCCCCCC